ACATAACTAACCCTAAACCTAACCATTACCAGCACATAACTAACCAGAGTGTGATTTTACCCGTGCTGCCATCAACACACAGGCATCTTAAGAACCAACAGCCACATCTGTCTCCATCTGCCCTGCAAAAGGTTGATGAAAGCTTGTATTTTGAAACAACTTTTTTGCAGAGCTTTTATTTTGAAGGTGAGTGGGTGATTTTACCTTTGCCACCCAACACGTGGACATCTTAAGATGCAAGAGCTCTTTATTTATCTCCATTTGCCCTGTGAAAGCTTGATGAAAGCTTTTATTTTTAAACAACCTTTTTGCAGTGTTTTTATTTTGAAGGCAAGTGAGTGTTTGTCAAAACCTCCTGTGTGAGTGCTATAGTAGTTTTTCCACTAAGTAGCACAGTTTGCGAAAGATTTAAAAGTTACTGTCAAGCGTCAAGTGTAAAACATAAACTGAAACAGTCGCCGGTCGTTCACCTGTCAGCTGATCTTTATCTTTACCTCGGGTTTGCAACGTGTCCAGTGCTTACGTTCAAGACCAACAAAAAGTTGATTTCTTTCACCGGAGAAACAAAAGCATAAAATATTGCCTTTTTTATTTAATTCGATGCTGGTGATTAACTACTGCGGAACATGCACATTTTTAAACAAATGTTTTTGAATTTATTTTTGTTTTAATGTCAAATACATACAAACATATTTTCTTGGTATGACTATAGATCTTTTATTGCCCAGTTACAATGACCACTCAGCAGCTAATGAAAACCATACATGTAGCGATTTATTAGTTTTATATTTGGCAGAATTGTGTTTATCTTGTTGGTCCGATCATCTGCAACAGTCCCCGATTTGTTTGCAGCACTTTGTAGTAAAGAAAGGTTCTCTACCCAGCTTAAAGCTAAAACAAATAGAAGTATTTGTAGCAACGGAGTTTCCTACTATCAAGCATTATACAGTACTGTAGTGCTAAAATGGATTTCCAATAATTTATTTTTGTTCAGCACATAAATAATAGTTTTGGCATTTGCAATCATATTAGATTTTTTTTTTTCCATCTGTTGTTTTGTCAGTCACCGTGTGTTTTTCCATTTTCAGATGAGAAACCCGATGAAAAGTGGATTGTGTTTGATGGGCCTGTTGACACTCTGTGGATTGAGAGCATGAACTCTGTTATGGACGACAACAAGGTGCTAACGCTCATAAACGGAGAGAGAATCTCAATGCCCGAGCAGGTGAGAACAGAAAGGCAAAGCACAGATACGTATATTTCCACCTGTCTAATAAACCAACACAGGGTAAGACCAGTTCTTTTTTTTTTTTGTACAGGTGTCTCTTCTGTTTGAAGTGGAAAACCTGGCGATGGCCTCTCCAGCTACAGTGTCTCGCTGCGGGATGGTCTACAATGATTATGTCGATCTTGGATGGAGGCCCTTTGTTCAGTCCTGGCTGGAGAAAAGACACAAAGTACAACACACTTCCACTGAGTCGTAATTTTTTAAATATTCTTCTGTTTTAAACATACAGAAAGTGTGTCATACTCTTCTCCCCTAATCTGTGTTTCTCCACTTTCAAAGGCTGAAGTGGAGCACTTAAAGATTTTCTTTGAGAAATATCTAGAGAGCACATTAAACTTTAAGAGGACCAACTGTAAGGAGCTGATTCCCACCACTGAACTCAACGGTGTCACTTCGCTTTGCCGCCTCTACGACTCCCTGGCTACACCCAGCAGTGGGGTATGGGGGCATATTGTAAATCTAATATACCAGCGACTGAATTACAACCTTACAACCTTTATCTTCACCTATACCTTATACAGTTTGTTAGCATTTCTAATATGAGAAGTGTCATTATTCCCCTTGTGTTTAGGTAAACCCCTCTGACAAAGAAAACTTGGGTAGGGTAGTGGAGCTGTGGTTCGTCTTCAGCCTCATCTGGTCCATCTGTGCCTCTGTTGACGAGGACGGACGTGGGAAGATGGACAACTTCCTACGAGAGATGGAGGGCACATTCCCTGTCAAGGTTTTTTTTTTTGTGATGAAAAGTATTTTGTTTACGTACGGTAACGTTATAGTTGCACATCTGCATCCATCTGGTTCAGTCTTGCACCCTTGCAGTGCAAAAGATTAGGGAAATAAAAAAAACACAGACCGTTTGCCGTCCTCCAGTAAGTCGCATCACATAGCCTTCAAAAACGACACTATGTCGGTCAAACACTGATTGGTAGGGTGATCTGGAAAGAGACTAAAAGCTTTTATTTTGAAACTGCTTTTTTTGCTGTGCTTTTATTTTGAAGGTGAGTGGGTGATTTTACCTTTGCTGCCACCCAACACACGGGCATCTTAAGACCCGAGGGCCACATCTGGCTCTTTATCTACCTCCATCAGCCCTGCTTCATCCCAGTGGCACCAACAAGCAGATGTGGATTTGGCTTAGTGTCGGCACCATTACAGCTGGTTGTTTCAGCTAGATTACTTATTAAAATAGAATATATCTGCACTTATTTAGCTTCTTTCATAGTTTCTACAAAAGAAGTTCTACTGTTGTTTGTGCGTGAATTCAAAGTACATGATAGAGTCTAACCGCCAACCTTTAGATAGAAATAAGAATCCTTACCTGACTCAAACTACATGTACCGTAATTTACAGACTATTGAGTGCACCCGAATGTAAGCCACGCCCACTAAATAGAGAGACATTGAGCAGCTACGTGAGCATCCGGGTGTGATGAGGTTAAATGTTTCGGCGGCATGAAGCTCGTTAGCCCGTACAAAAATAAATCCATAAATTAACCGCAGCATTGTTTAAACCACGGGGTTCAAAGCCTGTGAAAAAAGTAGTGGCTTGAAGTCCGGAAATTACAGTAAATTAATTTTCAGTCATAAAATGAACACAAGTAGTGTGACCATCTTTTAGACGTTAGCAGACTAAATTAATTAAATTCCTAGCTTCAGTTGATGTTTCAAAGGGCTGATAATTTCATGGTGCAAATGTTTAGAAATTTAAAGTTGAAAGCCAATTACTTCTGCTGAAGAAAACTAATGACTTACATCGATACAACACAATGATACACGTCTGATATACACCCAAATACTCAACATCATTATGTTGAGTATTATGGGTGTAGAATGTACAGATCTGGTTGAGTACATAAACGCTTCCAAGTATGTTATAGGAATCAAATATTTTGTCACCATTTATTTCCCTCCACTAACTGGAGCCGCTTTCATTGAAAGTCTTTTATCTTTCGTAAACCTTTTCAGGAAACAGTTTACGAGTATTATGTGGACCCTAAGAATCATACTTGGATTTCCTTTGAAGATCAGCTGCCAAAAGGTTGGCGCTACAACGCTGCGTGAGTACCCAGCGCTCCTTTGTACCCGAGTCCAACTGTAGCAGGTAGAGATGCATCGATAATTCAGCTACAGTTTGTGGCGCTTGACTGTCGGTTATCTGATTTGGCACTTGGAAACTTCTTTTCTTTCCCTTTTGGTCAGTGAACACATCACAGCTCAGTGGCTGTGTATTATCTGGTAATAATGGAAGTTTTTACAAAGTGAAATAGACTCAGATTTAGCTATTTATAAAAATCGGTATACGGTAATGTTTAAAATTAGAGGAATGATAAGAGAAATAATAATCTACAACAAGGAAACACGATTGTTTTCTAGAGTTGTGCTGTATTTGCTGCGCACGTTACTGCTCAGGCAGATGCTTTCTTTTATGGCGCCAGCTGCTACTTAAGCTGGTGACATTTACAGCTGGTGCACTTTTATGTTTTTCGGTGTGCAGGAAAGAAAAGAACATTAACCTTCAGAAGGTTTTTTTGGGGAAAAATGAGTCAGCATTTTAAAAAATATGACTGTTTCTGACTAAAGCTAAAAATCCTTTGAACTTTTTATTAACTCCTGGAAACCTTTGATTAACTTTACTGGCTCCTACTGGTCCTTGGGGGAAAAATTGACTATATTGAAATCCATTAGAAAACAGGTTTTCTGAGCCCATATTTATATAAAATAAAGCATGTTTTTTTTCACTAATATCCCAGTACTTTAAATGTTTATATTAGCTCACTAGGTGATGCTCCCCTTATACAATTGAGTGCTGCTTTTAAAGTCGCTGGGGGGGGGGTGACTGGAACTTACCTGGAGGAGGTGTCCTTCTCTTCTGATGAAATTGTTTTAGTTTGAATATAAAGAGCAGAGTCACACCCGTGTTGCTCCACCTGCATGCACGACTGAAGAATCATGTACGTCAGCCCCGAGTCAGGCTGACTTCTGTTGGCCCGACTGAAAACATGGCGCCGTAGGTTGATGGGCTGGACTTCTGCAGCGCAGTGGTCTACTGGTTCAGTAAAAGTAAATCACAAAACACACTGGCATTGTGCACAAATAAATATTTACAGTAGTCCCTCGATTATCAAAGGAGTTACGTTACACACACCCCTGCGATAGGTGAAAATTTGCCAAGTAGGAACCCTATATTTAGCATTTATATATATATATATATATATATATATATATATATATA